GCTCTCACAGTCCGACCGAACACTGAGTCAGGTGTTTCCGCGAGCATTTGCCCAATGCCTCGGTAACAACAACAATAGCAATAATATAGCGTCCGAGGCGACCGAACACGTCGCGCCCCCGCCACGCGCCACCACCCAAGGCCAACTCCGTCGCGCAACTCCACTTGCCTGGAGCGTAGGCGCCCTAAACAACTGCCATGCACCACAGTGCTAAGAGCTGGGAGCATACTAAAAAGGCGTAAAAGGCTGAGCAGGACGAGCGTTAGGCATGTCTACGTAACACAATAGATAGTCGAAAGCAGCTATTGCTGAAACTCAGCAACTGCTGCCCACTGAATAAGACCACTAAATAAGACCACTAAATAAGCTCACTAAATAAGACCACTAAATGAGCTCACTAAATAAGACCGTCCCCTAGAGTCCGCTCTCATTCGCCATGCCAGTTTACAGGGCGCACACACACGGGTCGAAGGTCAGGCCCTTGCTCGCAGGCATTTTTGCTGCCTCCAATGAGTCCATGCAGCTGGGCAGCGCTCGCTGCTGGGTGGACTCGAGGATCCGGCGCCGTCCACCGGTGGCGCCATCTTGATCACCGAAATTATCTTCTGGCACAACATTGATAGGTTTTTGTATAAAAAAGAACAGATATATGGTTGATCAAGCTGTAAACATTGACCATTGCAACATTTGTTGATTCTCAAGTGACAGACTCCGTGAAATTTAGTCCTTAGATTGTTCAGGGAAAGTGCTTCTGCGCCTTGAAAACGCCATCAAGGTTTCCTTGATCGCTTATGCCCATACTAAGCAAGAATAAAGGAATGCTCTGCAATAATTTCAGGCCTGTAGTGCGTATTTTCAGGGCTTTAGAGCACCCTTCATTTGTGAAGCTTGCATTTTAAGGTCTGGAGCGCCCTTTCAGGCAGAGGTTACGCAATGTTTTCGTGAGTGATGCACTGGCACATTTCGAGGGGTCCTTTTGGGTCGGGGGGGGGGGCGCATGGCGTGTTTTCGGGTCTGGGGTGCCCGTTTTCGTCCGAAAAGCGCCTTTCAGATTTTTGTGATGCCCATCCATGCCTTAGAGTTACATGCGGAGTCTGAGCTCCCATTTCAATCCTCGGGGTGGGGGTGGGGCTTTTTTAAAACCTGAGGGCGCTCTCTCACACCCGGGGGGCGCATTTCCAGGCATTGTAAGCAGGGGGCAGACAGGTGATTACAGAACTTTGTGCTTCCCTCCAAGTTCCGATGTCCAACCATTGCAGGGCCCCGTTGCAGGGCCTGAAGGATTGGCCGCGGGCCGTATTGTGGATCCCAGCTGCTGGGGCCGAGCCCAGCTTACCGAAGAAAAACCTGGCGGGCGGGGTGCCGTCAGGCCACCTCGTTGGGAGGGGGATCAGATAAGGCTCGTTCCTCGCCACAATGGCAGTTCACTATTGCTGGGGCACCTTTCCCCTCCGCGTCGCAGGTGATTCTGTCACGACCGATCGATAATCACGTAGCATCAGGCACGTAACCATAACTTTCCTGAAGGGGTGGGGGCCAATGTCAAATCCTCTTCGGACTCCGAATGCCTGCAAAAATCGATTAGTATCTAGTATAAACCTTTTGGGTGACGAGGTAAGACTTGCCTCCTGTACCGCCTCCCCCCCCCCCCATGTCAACATCTCTGAGGAGGATACTCATTGTCCACTCGCCTTGCTGCTCCGAAGCTTCTCTTCGTTTGTCCCTCTCGATCGGCCCGCGCATGTACTGTCCGCCGGGTCACGAGAGCGTGTCAGCGCGGTTTGGCCTAGGCGTTTTATCAGATTGCCTGGCGATGCAAACATTGTTATTGGTCCATGGCAAAACCGCAACGGGCTTCTGTGATGCCAGCTTAGACGGCTGACGTCGAGAGTCCTAAAGAATGTTTTATATCTATTGCATGTAACACATGTGACCTTCAACTGTCTATGCCGTGCCAGGAACTGCTTTAAGAAAAAAATCACTGGGGGAGGGATTTCGCCCAGTAGAATTCCGTGAAGCATTACAGCAAACCGCGCATTCCGACGGTTCTACACAGTCTTTTCCATTTTCTCTTCTTTTTTGGTAGTAAGTTACCTTTGTTAGGTCTAAGTTTAGACCCGGACTACAGAATAAGGTCGGCTACGAGCTGAAGGTGCACAACATTTCTGCACCAGCTCGTTGTTCAAGAGAGTCTCATGTAACATTTTTTCGCGAAAATGCGCGTCTGTCTGAATGTCTGCCTGTCTGTTTGATTGCCTTGCATGGTGACTCGTGTGTAGGTCATGGTGCAGCAAGAACCGGATATCTTCACAGCACACGGGTACAACTGTGGGGAGCCTACGCGCGCGCTGGCGCCTCGGTACGGGGACTCATGAGGCTCTTGCGCCGGTGCGAAGATGCATTTTTAAGCCCATAGGATCGTAATTTATCGTTAACGTTGATGGAACGAGGTGAGTGATAGTTAAACTATCTAGGGGATGGTATGTGCATGAGCAACGATGAATCTTGGGACCTCCATCAGCGAGAGGACGCCGATTTACGGTGGATAACGCCGGTGCACGATATGTGGGATTGCAGATCGAGAGCGATCGTGGCGATTGTATGTGTAGGTACTTAACTCAGTGATGCCTGACACGATCTGAGACGTCGGAGCAGTGGGCATTCGGAGAATTGTGAATTGTATTAGAGTAGAGTGGAACTGGGCGCATTCGAGGCATCTCGGCAGTGGTGAGACAGAAATACGGCGACGAAGAAAAACACTACGGCTTGACTGAAATTTCCGTTATGCTAACATAAAGTTAGGTGATGACCAGCCGAGAGCTCAGCACAGGCCAGCTTCTAAACTTTACGTTGGTTGATTTACGCGCCGTATGATAAATTATTTGGGTCGTTTTGTTCGCTGTGCATCCAAGTGTTACCAGCTGCACTCCATGGAAATTGAAGTGCTCCAAGGATGTTTTGTGGCCATTCGGCAATCGCTTCGTGATTTTGACGGGCCCACAGCACGTGGTGAGCTAACGCGTTTGTTTTTGCCACGGCGGACTCGGTGGGCAGAAGCACGATTTCAACCTTACGAACCGTTAGAGGCTAAGCGCCAATCACGATGCACATTGGCATGTTGTCGAGAGCCAACGCCAGTGATTCGATGGCCGGAAACTCCTGCCAAAACTCTTGAAACTAAGGGTGAATGGTAACATGGCTGAAAGCCGCGCCATCTGTCTGATCTAAAAACGTTCACTGGGATAAGCCGCCCGTCACTGCCATAAGCAGTTCGGCCTGAAGCCGACAGGTGGCGCTGGCAAATGGATGTCACATGGGTGATGCGGCGGTCGTCACGTACGAACCAATACTTTTCAGGCTGACCCGGGAGCCGGATTCGCTGCATTTTGTGTGTTTGTTTGTTTGGCTGGTTTTAGTTGTTTTTTGCCTCGCTCGCGGTTTCAGCCGTTCATGATACTGAACTAACCAGGAAGGAATCCAGAACTGCCAGACACATGTGAGGTACATATTACTGGTCATATCCTTACTTTATTTTCGGCACGCGTCTTTGCCAATCAAGTTCCAGCTGACAAAAGTTGAAATATGCGTCGATTCAAAAGTGGCTCCGCGCTCTCCTTTCAGTCTCTTCTTTTTATTTAAGAACAGTTGTCCCAACTTAGAATATATGTCCATCGCAGTGTCTACCTGAACCGCTCGAAAGACCTGGCCAGGCGTGGGCTGCTGGCAAAGCAGTTTCTTCTGTAGGGGCTGGGGGAGGGGCGATTTCACTGTTTGTTGAGGGTCTGGCGGTCACGGGTGAGGATTTTCTCCTCCAGTTAGCATGCTAGATAGATTCTGCGTCGTGTTTTTTTTTTTGTCGTCGGGCTGCATGCGCATCGTTTGCATTTATCTGATGACTGCGCTTGTAGATGTATTGTACGCTTTTTAGTTAAGAATCAACTCAGTTAACACGCGGATATGCAACCGGTCAAGACAGGAAGGAAACAAGCGAAGTCCTCACATACTTTTATGCATCCGCGACTGATGCGGAGAGGGCGCAAACGTGCCTCCGCAGATCGAGAGAAAGGATGTGATTCCATCAGCCTGTCACCCGAGACTTCATCGATGACATCACTGTTTCATGCGAATCGGTGCTCAGCGGCTCCGTGCAATACTCTGCAACACGACTTCGTGCGGACCAAAGATCTTGGAAAACTGAGCCGGGGGTAATTGTAACCCAGACGTGCCATCATCATCATCATCGTCATCACTTATTCGAATAGCATCCACAACACACGGCTTTTCATAACAAATCATGCACGCTTGATCGCAAAGATAGCCTGTCTGCGCCATCGCACACGCGTCTGAAGTCTGAACTCACGTGAAAACTTTTAATGGCCGTTCTCGACCCGCCCGCACATTCACCTGCGGCATATGGGGCCCATCGCTGCGGCGCTGACCTCTGCTGGAGCGGTGATCCATACGCTAATCGCACGGAAGGAAGGGAACGTCGGGCGTGTTCAGCTAGTACCGCTGAGCGGCGCGTCAGTGCGGTACTCTGTATGGCGTCTCAAACTGGCACACACCTGATCGCTGTGCAAGAGACGATGCAACATTACGATACCGTTTTCATATGACCATCCTGAATGAGCCTATTGGGCCTGGTGACAACAGCTGTCTATTTGAAGACATCCCTGGCCGCTGAACTGTTCGCCAGCGAGTGCTGAGGCCTCGCGCCGATCGGGAAGCGCGAGATGACGACTCATGGAACGGTTGTGGTCGGGTCAAGTAAAGACATCACGCGAACAGTCAACAGCCGCCCCCCAGTGATTCACGAAGAAAACTGAACCGGCGTGAGACAAGCCTTGCTGTGGTTCCAACACCCGCGGGGCATGGCGACCTTTCAACCCGGCCCGGTGGCGGCGCCGTGTCCGCACGCACCGGCAAGTTGCCGCGTTCGTCCGCTGGGCGGCGCTGCGATCGGTGGCGGTGCTTTATAGCGGACGGAGGAGGCGGCACCAGCCAGTCGCACGCTAACATGATGGTGCGGTGGCAGGCGGTGTTCGTGGCGCTGGCCACAGCGACCGGTGAGTGGCTCTGGGCTAACCCGACCTCGGCTGGAGGGCGTGTGACAGAGACGTAACATGCTGGATGCTCAGGGGGTGACCGAGACATTCCACACTTCAG